AATGTATGCTTATATGCAATTTATACAATTTCGGTTTTTGTTAAAATTTACCCCCCACCTCTAAATTCACCCCCTCACCCTCACTTTTGTAAAACGCGTATTTCAAATACTAGAGACTTGTGCTTTGGCAATTACATGCATATTCATGTTATAATCATAATCTGAAAGTTTCATGAAGATCGTACGTCCACAAAAAAAGTTATTAAACAATTAAGTTCTCATAGTAAGCGCACACTGCAGCCCATGCGTGTTTATGCGTGGGTGCTTGTGTGTGTATGTGTTTGTGTATGTGTGTGTGTTTCTTGTGTAAGCTGAAAGACGCGAAAAATTATTGAAATAGCTAGCACTCCAAGGGTTCAGGGGATCTCGTAGTCGAGCAGTCTCGACTAGAGCTTTCTTACTTGTTTTTTGTTTTGTTTTTAATTTTCTGCGTTATTTATTATGCTCCATAATCTAGATCTTAAAAATTAAATTTATTTGTTACGCAAGTAATGTAAATGGAAAGCATTGGAATAAATGCTTTTTCATACAGACTTTTATTGTTCTTCATAATTTAAAAATCTTAAGTATTACAATTTAAATTTAATGGACACAAGTAACGTAACTGAAATGTAAGCCTCATCTAATATCTGTTGTTTATAATGTCTTATTTAAAGCTGCTTTCAACTGAATTTCGATTCGCTTGTTTGAGTCATTAGCCAAGTCTTGTGTTTATTAGCCATTATTCCTAATCAATCCAGATGGCTCTGTGCATTTAACCAGACTCAAGTTAGGTCAGCCCATGTAAGCTCTTTGATGGCGGCACGCAATTTATCTCAATTAAACTTGGATTACAAATTATGAATATTGATTTATGGCTAATTCCAAAGGCTTTCGGCCCCTCTGCACCAGCCAGCAGCTACCAGCCAGTCAGCTAATTTGATTTGGGACAAAGGTATGTGAGCTGTCGGACCTTATTCAATGGCGCCTCGTGTCGGTCTCTGGAAATTCATTAACAGAACTTCGCATGGCTCCTTGGCACGACTCGAAAATGTGGCTCAACTCGTATAAACTCGAGTGCAAGTTAAATTTCGCCTCGCTGCACTTTTGTCTTTGCGCCAATTATAAACTAACTTCAAACTTTTGCGACAGTTTGCGCTGTCTTGATTTTTCGCTAGTCGCAGAAATAGAGGGAGCGACAGAGAGAGATGCGGCTGTTGTTGTTGCTCTGCTATCCTTTCAGTTGAACGTTGAGTAGTTGATTTTTAATTTTCGCTGTCAACGAAAGCTAAGTGTGGAACGCTGTCATAAGGACATTTTTATGATTTAGCTGTGCAATCGCTACACTAGCTTCCTGCTCAGATAACAAGCGGACCACAGCGCTCTGCACACAGGACACTTTAACGGCCAACAATAAAAGCAACAACCAGCGTTGACCTAATGAGGGCACCAGCCGCAGACAGCAGAAAGAAATTGAGATGCCGCAGCGGCATTTCATTTAATTGTGCAAACTGTGTGGCAGACAGTCCTCTGTCCAGTGCGTCCTGTTTGTCCTGGCTCCTAATGAAGCCGCCTGTTGTCGCTGCTAATGTCGATAAGGTCATGCGGGGTATGGCATCGTAAAGAGGCGCCATAAAAGCGAAACGCCACTTGCCAAGCAGCCCCAAGAATGGGGCCAAGCGGTTTCTGCTTATCAGCGCCATGTCTCTATATATATTATATATATGTAGGAATATGTACATAAATATATCCATGCTGCTGGAAATACGCAGCATATTTCATCAGCTCGACGGTCAAAGTGAGAAACTCTAGAAGTTTGACTTCCACTGACGCTGCATAGTTGACTTTTGTGTGGTGGCCTCGATTTAATGTTCGTCTAGTTTTTGGCTAACCTCCTGCTTCGCCGGCAGGGGCCAAGGCTGGGGTTAATGTGAGTGCTCATTAGTTAAATAATTGCCAACTAATTGGCTCGAGCGAGAAGGCGACTCGCCTTGTATCCGATTGTTGCCTGGCAACTGCATTATACTCTGTGTGTTTACAGCACTTGAATTTGCCTCAGCAAATATTACAGAAGTAAGACTAAACCAAAAAGTGATAAGCACTTCAGATGACAGCGAAATGGAAGCCTATTTCGGTCATCAGGACTGTCCATCCTGTCTAATAATTCTTTATACATCTATAATTAGCATTATTAATTTTGATAGTTTTATCTTCATTAACACGTTTTCCTTCATCTCTTATATATTCCTATACATTCTTTTTCTCTGAAGCATTAATACCTTGCTCTGCAATTAACTGAAATTTTTATCTTTCTAGTTTATTGCTTTGGGGCTCACCTTTACAGCTGCTGCTTCACGCTTAAACGGTAAATTTTCGCATAATTTAGCGCCCTCGCCACCTTAATGCTCGCCGCTTTAGCACCGCTTATCTTGATTAAAGTGAAAATGTGAACAAATTATTAATCAATTTTTTATTCAGATAAGAAAAGTGCAAGCTCATCAGCTCTATGCTTAAGCAGCAGCTGATTTTTAAGTGCATTCAAAGGAGCATTGGGACTTTAATACTTTAATTATAAAATTCCATAAATTCGATAATGAATCAGTTAAGCTAATAGAAACAGGTATGAAAGGTATGATTAGGAAATATCCTGAGCGATGAATATATTAATATTTCCCGTGACATTGGAGCTCACACCTGCATAACCAAGAAGCATATTAATCACAATAGATAAAAAAAAATATTTTGTATAATAACTTCCGTTACTTAGCGGATTTTATTGAAATTTTTGAGTATATGATCTCCACATTTTACTGAATATTTGTGATATTATAATATATCCCGAATCATATACATATTTGCAACAGAATTTCAATTTAAAGTAAAGCCAGCATTCAAAATATGAAAAAAAAAAAAACAAAATTGTTTAAAACCTACATAAAACTAAATATATAAATTCTAACACTAAAGACTTATAATTAAAAAATAAATTTCGTTTTTAATGTAGAGCATTAAAACAGGAATAGCTATAGATTTTTAAACAGAGTCAATCTGCGCATTCTACATAAGAATCTACCAATTTAAGATCGACGTGTTTAAAGATATGAATATGGTTATATAGACTGTAGTCTATATATCAGACGGATATTGCTATTTCGGCTCAGCTCATCGCCCTGGTCAAGAATATATATGTATACTTCTTTCACTCCTTCTTCTGCCTGTTATAATCATTATAATTATACTGTGGCTTCGAATTTCCGATGGGAATTCCTGACTCGATTGCTATTGAAATAGTTTTTGTATAACATTTAAAAAAGTATGCTATGAATATTTGTAGAGTGTTGAAACACTCAGTTGAAACCGAATGTAGAATTTTCTCGGGAACGGAGGTTTTGCGAAAGCTATCCATGGAAAAACCTAGTATCCCATGGAAAATGTTTGATTTTGGTTATTCAGCTTTGTGTGCTTGTGGGTTAGATTATTCAGTAGTTTTTATTCTTTCATAGGGAACGGTTCGTGTTTAGTTCGGCAGTAAAAAATCATTTTTTTTTTACAGTTTTTATAAACGATGGACTTTGCGACAGTTAATTCGGTGTATGAAAATCTATTTTCAGCTCAAAATTTTTTTGCACTGCACGAGCAGCAAGAATTAGATAAACAAAATTACATTGACATGGTCAATACTGCGGTCGGTGATTTAGATATGTATCGCTTTGAGGATGGTGGCGGAGATGCGCGCGGCTCGCTGCTATTGGGCGATGAGTACTGCAGGACCTTCAATGAGGATGCTATCGCTGCCGTGTCAGCGGCGACATCATCGACAACAGCTGAAACAAGTGCTGCTGCAGCAGCAGCAGCAGCAGCAGCAGGAGGAGCACTAATACCAGCAACATCCGGAGCAGGCGCTGTCTCTTCTTCAACAACAACTGCTGCAACAACTGCATCGGCAACAATAACTGCGACAACAGCAACGACTGCTACAACTGCAACAGCAACAACTGCAACAACAGCAGCTACAACCACTACTACAACAACAAAGACAACATCCTTGTTGCAGCCGAAGGACAAGGACGAGACTACACAACCAATAGATGATTTTGATCTTTTGACAATGTTGGGCTATCGCCCACCAAATGACTGGGCTTCACAATTCCGGCGTCCACGCCCAGCGCCAACCATGCAAATTAGCGAAGAGAAGTTCGTGCTACGCTTGGACACGATCTTCGTGCTGGGCATGCGTTTGAATGTGACCAAAAATGACATTATTGAATTCTTTGGCAAAATGGGACGCATCAAAATGGATGAGCTGACCATGAAGCCAAAAATTTTCGTATACAAAAACAAGCTAACGGGGCGCTCGAAGGGTGAGGCAACCATAACATACACTAGCCCCTATGCCGCCCAAGCGGCCATTCATTATCTGGACGGGGCTAAATTTCTGGGCCAAGTGCTTAGCGTGGTGCCCGCTTACCTATCAACACAGCCCGGCAAGGGCGTACGCTTCAGCTACGCCCAGGAGACCGGGATCGAGCAACAGCGCCGTCAGCGGCAAAAGAAGTGGAAGCCCGCATTCGATAATTGGGTCTGTGAGCTATGCAGGAATAGCAATTTCGTTTGGCGTATGAGCTGCAATCGGTGTCAGGTTAGCAAGAGCACGGCCATTGCCATGGCAAATGCCGGACAGAGCAGCACATGGCGTCCACGTAAACACGATTGGACTTGCGGCTACTGCTTCAATGTTAATTTTTGGTATCGTCAGAAATGCAATCGCTGCAGTGCGCCCAAAGCTGAGCTACATTCCAGTTCGGAATCAGATAAAGACAAGTGGGAGCTGGCATTTAGCCAGACCTCTGTAGTTTAGTTTTTCCTAGCTAGCCTCCTAAATTGTTAGTTTTGTTCATGTTTGCAATAAATAAAGAAAAAGTGGCGTCTTCACATGTAAACCAAATCGATCTTGATCCAGAACTTTGGTTTCCAGCTGCCAGTTGAAATATGTGCTGCCCTCAATACTAAGATAAAACATCCAAATTTTTCATATATTTGTTGTAATCATAAATAGCAAAAAGCACCTTGCATCAAATTAAAGAATTCCGATTTATTGTTTCTTCATATAAATGTGTTTGTTTTTCTATATTTCTATATTTTTGTACCAGCTCATATAAATGTGAGCGCTTGCTTGAGGCGCACACTATTATTGGAGCTGAATGTGCGGCATACGTACAGCTGGCGGGCACTGTCGCAAAAGCAATTTGCTATTAGCAGATGGCGAATGTCAGGACAACAAAGGATTTGAATACAGTCGCAGCCAGAGAGCAGACAGGCGGCGGCAATGCCGACTGGCAACAACATTAACCAGCACTTGGCAATTGTTGTTGTGGCAATACCCTACGTTGAACTTAAATGGGGCATGTTGGGTTAGACTATAGAAATGTGTCATGAATTTATATATTGTAATGAAGTTCTTTCTGAAATATAAATTTAGTATATTTCATATATGATTTTAGGGTATTTCTCAGTCATGCTTAGCATATCAGAGCTGTCTTATTTGTTATAGTTGTTGCTGTTGTTGGGTTAGGTTTATGTGGCTCTTGTTGTTGTTGTTGTACTCATTCTTATTGTAGTTGAATGCCTTGTGCTGCAGCAGATTTTGATGTTGCGCAGTCTGTGTCAACTCTCTCTGTGTGTTTGTGTGGGTGTGTGTGGGTGTGATACACCCAGAGCGTTGAAATACATGCAATAAAATGTGTACGTGTCTAAATTTTAATATGCCTGCGTGTCTGTTTAGCATTTGATTCAATTCGTTGGGTATTTCTCCCGGGCACCACTTTCATCTTTGGGTCTTGCTGCTGCTCCTGCTCCTGCCCCTGCTACCCTGCTCTTGCCTGTGTTTTATTTGACTGGCTACGTATTTATTATATACCTAATGAAACTTCACGTTCTCCTCATTAGGACACACAAACACATGCACACATTGACATGGGATTGAGTGAGGAAATTGCTTTGCTTTCGGTTGATTATAGAATCACCTGGAGCTCAGGAATTTGGCATTAAGGCTAAAGAGTTGCTGTAATTAAGGCTTGGAAATTGCTTTAGTTTAGAGCGTGCAATATTAACGCAAGTCAAATTCATTTAAATGCCAACAAAACATTGTTTTGTCCTTAAAAACGCTTTTACATAATTTCAGTTGTTTATGTTTTTCGTCCCATTTTTGACAGAATCAGCAAAAAGTAAAAAACAAAAATGAAAATGAAAATGAAAATGAGGCAGACATAAAAATGAGAAAAGTGTTTTCAAAAAAATTATGCAAAACATAATAATAAAATTTAATAAAAAAATGCCAAGTTAGCGGGAGGCAGCGCGTGGAAATGGCCGAGCGATTGCCCCAAAATGTGGGCGGGCCAGCTCTACTGCAACATTTTATGCAAATTCCAATGTCCGCAGCTTCGAGTGGCTCAATTTGCGACAGAGGGTGGGACTGGGACTGTAAGTGGGACTGAGATTGAGGCTGGCTCGCGGCAAATGCTGCCGAGATTATGTGCAAAAGGGCTGTGGGTGTTCTTCATTCTACACATCTCTTAAAAGCAACAAAAAAGCGTATTAGTTTGCTATGCCTATGCTATATATTTTAAGAAATAGTATTGGCATATATAAATAAATCAAATATAAAATATAGATAAGTTGGCTACGCGTCAAACTACACTACACAGCAGTCGTGTAAATTATTTGAGTAAACAAAATATCAGCTTCAGTTGAGTAACGAAATTTAGAAAAAATTCCTAACAAATTCAAA